TGGGAAAAGTTTGGTGGTGGGATTTAATGGGAATAAAGGGTTTCACAGAAATGAATATCATATTTTCTTTTGTTGATGGTGGGATTGTATAGAACAAAAAAGTTAATGTTGTTGGTATAATAGTGTTTTTGCGTCTTTGCTATCTGGTAGATAACATTATAGATGACTGTTCTTCATAAAAAAAAAAAAAGTATCATGCATAACTGTTGAGCCCTACTACAAAATCTGACCACACTCCGGATTGCTGCTTGCAACTGGCCTTCCTGAAGCCAAAATCGCTAGTAATCTCCAGACATCCATACAGACGGTTGTGAATTCATTGTGGGCTTTATATACACCCACACGTCACAACATGAGATTATGAGACCACTCTGCAAGGCTAAATATTTTTGGGTGACCTCTAGGGAAATAGTACTGTGAGGGAAGAGTGAATTTGTTTGAAAATATGAATGGAAGATATTCCTCCTAGACTTGGTGTCCATAGTAGTAACAGAAACTTCAATAAAAACGTGTTCGTTTACGGCCACTATGCAAGAAGCCAAGAATCACTCAAGCCTTATAATCAGCTGCAACTTGCTAATCTATAATACGACGTTTTCAAATTTTAGTACATAGTTCAAGCATGTAGAGCCTTTTTGTCTTTTTCTTTTGTGAGTGTTCATACTAGGTAGTTCACACAACAAAGAGAATTAAATTTTATTTTATAAGAAGTCGTTTTTTTTTTTTGATCAAATTTATAAGAAGTCGTTGTGATGACACTTCTGATGTTAATGTGAGATCATACTTTTGCTCTTTTTTATTTTTCCGTCTCAATCACTTCTTATTCTTTTTTTTTATTGCCTCTGCTACCAAAAGTAAACGGCTGGGTAACATTACATCCATATCCTAATTCCTTTTCAGTAACTAGGCTCGGTGTTACATGAATTGAACTTTGTTCAATATGTAATATTAATGATGTATCTATTTGGTGGAACCATGTTATATACTTGGTTGAATTATGCTTTCAAAATGATATGTACCCGGTAGAACAAATGTTACATATTGATCAAAATAATATGTAACTTGGGGTACTAATCGAATTTCGATTTAGATTCAATTAGATTTTGGGTTTTAGGTTTGTGAATTTCAACTTACTCAGATATTATAAAAGTTTGATTTGTTTTTTTTTTTTTCAGGTTCGATTCAGATTTAGTAACATGTAAAAGAACTAGTTAAATCCGATATAATTTTTTGTTAGATAAAAAAAAATACATACAAAATAACACTAAAAACCAAAGTCTTTTTTTTTTCTTTTTTTTTTGTCAACTGCTTTTCATTAAAGCTTTTGGGTCATAAAGCCCAAACGTAAATACAAGTGAATTTTAATACACAAACCCTACTACAACAGGCCCACCCAAACCCAATATTCAGATAAAGATCAATACACGTTTCCTGATTCTAGCTCTGCATGCCTTCCACGTGTCGCACTAAAATTCTGTTGAGAAGCGAGCCGCCGTTTGGGATTTCCGGAGAATCTCACCGTTCTTCTTCTCCGACTAGAAGCAGAAATCAAATTTCCAAAACATGGCAAAGATTCACCGGCTTAGTCCACTTGCGTAACCTTTCCCCTCCACCAACCGTAGATACTAAGAAATTTCATGTTTTTCTCCTGATGTGAAAAGCGGTGACAAGCTTTTGAGAACAATTCTGGAAAGAAACTTTGTTGAAACACTTTTCTATATGAAAAGCTTCAACTCTACTGAATCTTCCAAAATTATCTTGCTAAATCAAATTACTCAAGAACTAGATCTGATCAGATACTCTGTCCGAAGGCCAACTGGCCAATTTTATCAGAAGACAAAGAATGATTCTTTTCAAAATCCAGTCTCGAGAATAACCAGAGAAAAAACAATCCATGCTTAGTATCAGACGGGATTTAAAGTCTAAGAAACATGAGAGAAGGTAGAAATAGATAGATGAATTATTAATCAATCCCAAATCAAGGAAAGATAGAACATGAAGATCCACTTTGAAATTGAGATTGAAACACTCCAAAATCCCCTAGGGAAGGGAAATCCGCTAAACGGAAAAACAAGATCGATCTGAGATCGAATATATTACAAGCAAAAAAGCCTCTAATTAATCTCTCCCCCTCTGAATGATTTTTGATGGGTAAGAGGTGCAGAGAGATTTTTCTCTCTCTAAAGAGAGAAAGAGAGAGGCTCTAAAAACCAAATTCTATTTCACCTCAAAAAAACCTAAGCGCCGCTAGCGAAAAAAAAAAAACCCTAAGCGCCGCTAGAGAAAAAAAAAAGCGATTCATGCGTTCTCCTTCTCCGGTGGCCGGCGAGTTTCGTCGGTGCCGTGAGAAGGTCTTAGTGTAACTCTTTTGTGTCTAAGGTTTGTGTTGAAGCTATTGATAGCCTTGGAGACCCTTGGGTTCAGATCTGATCTCATCTTGTAGCTGGATTGGATAGCTTAATCAGGTTCGTAGTTTTTTCTGGTGTGCGGTGCAGTTTATGCCGGCTCTGATGTGGGGTGGTACTTCTTCCATCGGATCTGGATAGGTTAAAAATTCGTTTGGCTCTTAGATGATTGACGGGCTTATCCCTCTCTTGTCTCTGTATTGGTTGTCGATTGTATTCAGCCTCGTGTAGCTGTCTAGTTTTTGTGTTTTCTCTGTGGTCTTCATCCAACACCTTTCGATATGAGTTCGGTTCTGCAATAAGATACTTGTGTAGCTTCATCCTGAGGCTACTCCATGGAAGCAACTCGAGGGAGTGTAGCAGATTATGTTAAAGCTCTCTGTTTATTTGGTCTTTATCGTACGAAAGGTATTAAGGTTTCTTCATCACGTTAGAGCTTGATGGGTCTTTGGACTGTCTGGAAGATGGCTCTTTTCGTGGTCATGAGTGGTGTTGTACTGCTCTGGATTGTGGATTTGATGGTCTTTCTCGGAGGCGTTCGTGTTTTTATCTTTGATATTCTTTGGGTAAGGCCTCGTCGTTAGACTTCAGTGCTTGGTTTTAGTTGTCTTCAATGGGTGGAGTTTCAGTGTTGTGAAGATGTGCTGTCCCTTGGTTTGAAACCGACGGGTTCTCCGAATTACTTGGTAAAGGGCTTTGGAGCTGTGGCTCAATTGCGTGTTGTCTTGGAGTAGTTATTTGCCAACCGTCGTCTTCATTGGCTGCTCGAGCTGAAGATTTGTTCTCTGTGGCTTCTTGTGGAAGAAGTAGCTTTTGTGATGTGGTGTGTTCCTGGTGTCAGAGGGGAACCGTTCTTAGAGATCATCTTTCAACTCCAATAAATAAAGATTGCCATTGTTTTCTCGCTTATATCTTCTTCCAACTCTGCTCTGCTCCACTTTTTTGCAAATTATCATGGTTCTCTAATGTGTTCTTAGGTAACCTTGTTCCCTTTTTTCAGTTTAGTGTTTGGTTAAGTAGTTGTTTCAAACTTTGTCTCCAGGAGGTTTTCTTAACTCGCTGGCTTGTAATTCCAGAAAGGTTTTAAACCTTTGTTGGCTCTGTGTAATCCTTGGTTGAATTCAATATAAATCCACCAGATGACAAAAAAAAACACTAAAAACCAGAAACAATGAAACTTTAAAATGATAAATGCATGTTATGCTCAAACACACATGTTCCTAAGCTCGTCTAACATTTCCACAGATCCCATATTTTTTACAAGTACAACTTCCATAGTCTTCTTCAAACATCGTCAGAAGATTTATAGCGAAACAACTCTCTAAAACAACAAAGCTGATATTCGCATTTGGTGGGAACTTCATTAGTCTCTGATATACAATGAAATTTTTCAATGAAAAATTAGAATCATGCTTAGAACAAATATCATGAGTGAGTATATAATTTACTAAAATGAAAACCAAACAAAGAACAAACGCTAGTGAAATGAAAACCAAGCAATGTGACAATGTCCATGATTTAAATGAAAAACAAACAAAATCAGCATTATTCAATGAAATGAAAACCAAATACTTCTAAATTCAGTTTTCAATCTTCCATCTTCAATACTCTGACAAAACAAAAGCAAACACATTAAGTTCAACAAGCAGTAGACACATGTTAATGAAGAGAAACTAAATTGAAGGAACACATAGCTTTCTCAAGCCTATAAAGCAATTCAACATCAGCCATGATTTGTTTATTTGTAATGACGTTTTCATTAAGATTGATGCCGGCATGCATTTACTGATCATTACACATAAGACCCTATATCATATTGTGAGTTAGACAATTCCTATATGATTCCAAGGTCTTGCCACTTTTGCTAAAAGCACTCTAATGCTATTGATGAAACTTGAATAGAAAGAAGATTTCTAGCCACTTATGAAAGATATGACACTTCATTCTATACACTTTCCACTATGTCAGAATGTCGATCTCAAGCTCCTCTAAGAGCTTTGGGGTTTGAATCAGTTCATTTAAGTAAACTTTAAGTTTATGCATTGTATCTTCACATTTTTCAGCAACAAATTTCTTGTACCACAATTCATTCTTTAATAGCCAAAATCTTCAAAAACAACTCAATTTTTTCACGACTTGTATTTGGAATTTTTGACCAGATAAAATATCAGATAATTTGAATAATTTTAAAATTTTAGATAAAAAATTATTGAAATTTTAGGGTAATTCAGTTTATAAATAATTTTTAAGAAAATTTTTAGGTATATAATATATATTTATAAAAATTGGGTATCTATTCGATTCTTGGTATGGTTTCAGTTTTTTTTTTTTTTTTATGATCCATCCAAATAGTTATATTCGGTTTGATTTCGGTTTCATTTATTTCAGTAGGATTGTAGGGTTCAGTTATTTTGATATGGTTGGATCCTTTGATTTCGAATAAATGTGTCTAGTCCTACCTAAATTTAATAGTGAAAACAAAGTAAGTAAAAAAAACAAAAGAGAATAATAGTTACACGGAAAATACTCATCCCAAATAAAGGGGAAATGCATATTATGACTTGTTTTCCCACTAGGAGAGGTTGTTGTTTCTCTTAAAGAACCAACGAAATATAAATATTAACATGTTAGCAACTAACTATAAACTATCACCAGCTAAGATGCACCACCTCCACATTCATCATCCCCAAGAATCACTCTCTTCTGATACCCTAATCTTCTTCTCTTCCACCTAAAATCACATCATCAATGACGGATGCTCCAAGATCCGACCTGTTTCCTTCTTCTCGGCTCGATTCCGACGCCGGAGCTCTCTTTGTCCTCCAATCAAAAGGTAATTCATTAAACTGCTCAGGAAAACAATTCTCCACAAACTGATTGAGTTTCCTGTAATTTCAGGCGAGTGGTGGCACGCCGGTTTTCATCTGACGACGGCGATCGTGGGACCCACGATATTGACGTTACCGTACGCTTTCAGGGGGTTGGGATGGTGGTTAGGGTTTGTGTGCTTGACGACGATGGGACTCGTCACTTTCTACGCTTACTACCTCATGTCTAAGGTTCTCGATCACTGTGAAAAATCCGGCCGCCGTCACATCCGATTCCGGGAACTCGCCGCCGACGTTCTCGGTACAAAAACAAAATCATATCTTTTCTCAGAATTAAATCTCTGCAAGATATTTTTCCTTTTTTGTTATGTGCTATTTTTGGGTAAATCCGTATACGTTGGATCAAGTTTCAGTGTAGATACTTTGACCTTTTTTTGTCTTTTAGATTTCCTGATTGCACACGTGTTGTATTGAAGGTGATGCTCACCGAATTCTAATAACCGGTTTCCGGTTTCGTGTAGAATTTAATTTCTTCAGATCAGTTGAGTTCAGAAAGTTTGGTTTACCCAGTTCTTGGGTTCGGAGAATTCTTAACGAATTGAAACCAAATTTTTTTGGTCCGAGTCTCCGAGAAAAATGTTCATGTAGTTGGGTTCTGTTTAATGGTCAACCTAGGTGTTATTAGGTGAATAAATACATTAATTCCGATTAAATATGGAATCTTAAAGTTGACCAGAATTTAAAAGTATTATTATTATTATTTTTCTCTCAGAATTTTAAATTTTTAAGGTGGAGTTTTTCGTTAGTAACTGACTGGTTCTGCTATTTTTCGCTTAAATTTTTTGGACGGTTGTTGTAATGTGATGCAGGGTCAGGATGGATGTTTTATGTAGTGATCTTCATTCAAACAGCTATCAACACTGGAATCGGTATTGGTGCCATTCTACTCGCAGGCCAATGTCTTGATGTAATAAACCAAAAACTTTCGTTACTTGCTAGGTACGGCAGAGTACAATATGTACGTACCATATGTTTAATTTCCTCTGTTTGTTTATTTTGTTAACACAGATAATGTACTCGAGTCTTTTCCCACAAGGAACCTTGAAGCTCTACGAGTTCATTGCTATGGTCACAGCTGTAATGATTGTTCTGTCACAGCTCCCAAGTTTTCATTCTCTTAGACACATTAACTGTGCGTCTCTTCTTCTCAGCTTAGGCTACACTTTCCTCGTCGTTGGGGCGTGTATCAACATAGGTACAATGATTATTATTATTACATTGGCGAAAAAAACACAATCAATGGTAAAGGTCGAGACTAATAGCTCTGCTTTGGTTCTGAAGGCTTGTCTAAACACGCTCCTAAACATGAGTATTCACTAGAGCCTTCGGACTCAGGGAGAGTTTTTAGTGCCTTCACATCGATTTCAATCATTGCTGCTATTTTCGGAAATGGAATTCTACCAGAAATACAGGTGTACTATGCGTATAATCAATTACAATATCATATGTTACGAGCTTGAGATTTCTGTGATACATTAGATAATATAAACGCAGGCAACTCTTGCTCCACCAGCTACAGGAAAGATGCTGAAAGGATTAATTTTGTGTTATAGTGTGATCTTCTTCACGTTTTATTCGACTGCAATTTCTGGTTATTGGGTATTTGGTAATAACTCGAGCTCTAATATTCTCAAGAACCTAATGCCTGACGAAGGACCGACTCTGGCTCCTATAGTCGTCATTGGCCTAGCGGTCATCTTTGTTCTTCTTCAGCTTTTCGCCATTGGCCTCGTAAGTTAAAAATACTGAATTCATTGTATTGAACGTTACTTGGGTAGCAAGATAAGACATCTTGCGGAACAATTTATCTTTCATTAAATCAGACATTTACAAGATTTATATTGGCAGTGAGGCGAGTGACTAACGTTTAGAGGGGTTTTTGTTAGGTTTACTCACAAGTTGCGTATGAGATAATGGAGAAGAAATCAGCGGATACAACAAAAGGGATGTTCTCAAGACGCAACCTGGTGCCGCGTTTGATACTAAGAACGCTATATATGGCGTTTTGTGGGTTCATGGCAGCGATGTTACCCTTCTTTGGGGATATAAACGCGGTGGTAGGAGCGTTTGGGTTTATCCCACTCGATTTTGTGCTTCCAATGCTTCTATACAATATGACATATAAGCCTACGAAACGGAGCTTCACGTATTGGATAAATATGACGATAATGGTTGTGTTCACTTGTGCGGGACTCATGGGAGCTTTCTCATCTGTTAGGAAACTTGTTCTTGATGCTAATAAGTTCAAATTGTTTAGTAGTGAAGTTGTTGATTAGAGCGATGCTTATCATATAGTATATGGATAGTACATAGACGCATTTTATGTGTACATGTTTTCTGGGTGGGGTTTTCTTATATAATCCCTTGAAGGAAGTTTTCGTGTGATGATCTTTAGTTAAAAAATATTCTTTTATAATATTTATTCTTTTCAGATGATTCTGACAAGAAGAAAGAATAATATTATAAAAATTAACCAGATGGTTATTCGCATACATACACAGAGGTTATATAAAAACCCTAGTTCTTTGATGGTGATGGAAGCGAAGATCTACAATTTCTAGTCCTCTGTTTGATTCATCCTTTGGTGACCGAATAGTCTCACATAACAGAGCGATCTTTGTCGTCTATCTGTGCCTAGATTTACATCTCGATTCACAACAGAACGATCTTGACTCACACATCTTTGGCTTTCTTCTCCATCACACGATCTTAATTCTGCATCAACACACCCTCCAATCCCACGATCTCTGTGTGCGATAACAGATTGATCTCACTTCCTAACGTATCTTTGTACGAGGGACTACATCAATGGCTTCAAGCAAAGCAAAATGTATCATTCTCGAGGAAGATGATGACAAGCCCATCCAACTGTCGGATCAGGCTGATGAACATCTCACTAGAGAATACAGCTTGTCTCTTATTGGCAAGATCATAAACCCGAAGAATAAAAATGTGGAGAGACTCATTGTGGCGATGCCGGATCAATGGGGGATGTCGGAAAAAACTCACAGCTTGTGATCTAGGCAGTGGAAGATTTTTATTTAATTTTGATAATGAAGTTGACCTTATGTTAGTTCTCAATCAAGGTCCTTCCACCACAATTTATGTATGTTTGTTTTGGTTCGTTGGGAACCCGTGGTAGCGGAGGACTACAGTCAATGATACCATTATGGATCCATCTCCAGGATATCTCACTCCATCTTGCACTGATCAGAATCTTCAAGCTATTAGGGATAGGCTAGGGAAAGTGGACACGATTGATGCCACAGAGGTAACGATCAAGGTCGATATATATTGACTAATCTAAACCATTGAAATTCACAAGGAAACTGCAAACAAGAAACAAAAAGACACCATCATCAAACTTCATTACGAAAAACTCTTCAAGCATTGCATGAAATGTGGTCTTATGTCACATGAGAGTCAAGAATGCGTGAAAAAATTACCTCTCTGAGAACTCAAGCTGAGGTACGTGAGACGGTGTTTGACCGTGTACGCTCCACTGCTGCTAGAGGTGACTTGAAAGATGTTTTCCAAGGCATAAACGGCAATCAACGCCCAAGAGAAGAGACCTCGTATAGGTCTTACAAGGACTATTCAAGTTCTGGAACACGAGTGCAACACTCATCTCACTCAAGCCGTACTAGTAGAGCATCAAATCCAAGAGGTACATGGTACAACATGTACTCTTATGTCAGAAATCAAGCATCTATAGCGAAACACTCAGAAGCAACTAAGGAAAGAGTATGGAAGGAGTAACAACAACGGAAACTAAAGAATAGGGATCAGGCTTGACGGTTATGGCTCCAACAGCCATCAACTCTGTTGAACAGCCTCGCAATGATGACAATGTCACTTTCCAGAAAATTCCCGCAACAAGATCTATCAACTCTATTGATATGGTTACAGCAGAGGACCTTATCCCTCCATATGATGCAATTAAAATTGATGCCCTTGATGATGTTAATGAGAAGGAGGAGGGGGAACTCGGCTTATGCGGATATGGACTATACTATTACGGGTAACAAGTTAATGATAATGGAGGAAGATGATCTACTGGAAGATGACCTGGCAAACCTGAAGTCGCCGGAAAAGAATGAATTTGAAACTTCAGGTTAGCGGCTTAAGATGAGTAATCAAGATGGCTCAGTTCTTATGATTGAGGCCAACAAGACCTCGAGTAGAAATGAAGCTGATAAAGATCCTGATCAGAAAGAAACTATGAGAAGTGTGGCTCGGTCATTGTTTACGAGCTCGTAGAATGGTCCACGTCGTGCCTCACCACGTAGCAATGCAAAACCAGTGGTATAGTCTGCGATTGTAGCCCGGGGCAGAAAGGGACTAAGTTTGAGGAAGGCAACAACAAGTGCGGGTGACCAGAAACGAGGTATCATGGCTGCCAAACATCCGCCCCACTTTCATCAATAAAGACACTCAGTTGGAACTGTCGAGTGATTAGGAGCGCCACACCGTTCGACGTCTCACGGAGATGTGTCAGGAGCATCACCCATGACTCTTGTTCCTTTCTGATACGTAGAATAAGAAACTGCTGTTGCAAAACTTTTAAACTGACTTAGTTTTTTAAGAAATATTTTACCGTCGAGCCTCTTGGCCAGAGCTGTGGTTTAACTTTATGGATGGATGGAACTCGACAGACTTGCCAACTAATGAAAATATTATGGATCACATTCACATCTCATGTTGCCGGAGAGAATTAGGAAAATGAAAAAGATATAAATGCGGAGAAACTAGTGGAAGATCTTAAAGCAAATGTAGATAACCTCTACTCAGATGATAATGACACAATAGAAGAAATCAGGGAAGCATTAAAAGAACTAACTGAGGCTCTTAAGGCTGAATAACGGTTTTGGAAACAAAAGAGGAGAGTCTTATGGTTCAGAGAAGGCGATTTGAACACTAAGTTCTTCCAAGCTATTACAAAACAAAGAAGAGCCAGAAAGAACATTCCAGGTCTTCTAGATTCTGCTGGAAAGCTAGTGGAGGGTGAGGAGAAACAAGTAGCCATTGCAATTAGTTATTTTAGAGACCTATTTGAAGTTCCAATCCTGAGCTTAATTATGAACACTGAAAATGTGACTACAACGATTTCTGATCAGCTCAATGTGAATCTCACGGCTCCTATCAAAGAATGGGATGTTAAACTTGCTCTCTTCACAATGAATCCTGAAAAGGCATCAGAACCTGATGGACTTACAGCCTTGTTCTATCAATTTTTTTGGGACATTGTCAAGGCAAACTTAAGTCGTATGGTTATAAGTTCCTTTACGATGGGATTATGGCTGATGGCCTCAATGGTGCACATATTTACCTTATTCCAAAGAGAGAAAAACCTACAGAAATGTCCTAGTTTCGACCTATCAGCCTCTGTAATGTGAGCTACAAAATTATATCTAAGGTCTTAAGCCAAAGATCGAAGAAGATACTGTCGGATCAAATATTTGAGACACAGTCAGCCTTTATGGCTAGAAGACAGATAATTGATAATGTACTAATAGCACAAGAAATGTTTCATGCGCTGCAGACAAATCCCGAAGGAAGACAGACATGAGCAACGCGTATGACCAATTGGAATAGGAACTCATCAGTGCAGTCATGAAGAGAATGGCTTTTTCAGACTTCTGGATTGAATGGATAATGTGGTGGTATCATCTGTAAAGTATCATGTCCTCTTCAATGGTCAACCGAGAGGACATACTTCCCCATAGGGGACTATGTCAAGGAGATCTTTTGTCTATTTTCATCTTTCTCCTATGCACGTAAGAACTCAGTAGCCTTCTTAATCATGTAGAGAATCAAGGGAAGATAACGAGTATGCGTGTTTCACTCGCTAGTCCCTTGATGTCACACCTTCTCTTTGCTGTTGATAGCGTGTTCTTCTGTAAGTCAGAGCCATATGATGAAGTCATGAGAGTAATTAAGACATATGGGAAAGCTTCAGGATGCATCAACTATGAGAAATCAGCCTTACTCTTTGGGAAAAGGTATCAGTTTCGATGATGGATGCAATCAAAGCCTCAACAGCGATCACGAACGAGGGAGGGATGTGATCTTATCTTGGGATTTTAGAAGATATTAGTGGCTCGAAGTGGAAACTATTTGCCTTTCTTAAGGAAAATTTACAAATTGAGTTAATGGATGGACTGGACGATGGTTATCAAGAGGAGGAAAGGAGGTGTTAATAAAATATATCTTAATGGCTGCCTACTTACGTAATGTCGACCCTCGTACTATCTTTAGAGACTTGTGAAAATTTAGCTAGTGTCATTGCATATTTCTGGTAGAGTTCAAACCCCCCCCCCCCTACCAAAAAGGCATTCACTGGACAAAATGGAAGAAGCTATGCAAATCAAGGAAAGAGGGATGAATTGGTTTCAGGATGATCCATGAGTTCAACCTTGCTCTATTAGGAAAACAACTTTGGAGACTAATACAGTTCTCTGACTCTCTGTTAGCACGAGTATTGAGAGAAAAATACTTCAGATATAGTTTGCCTTTACATCTAAATAACTTTGATAATCCCTCATCTAGATGGAATATTTTTATGGCCGTAAATCCATTATCTCTAATGAGGATTATGCTAAAAGTACAATCAGGGAATGAAATCAGAGTTTGAGAAGATCCTTGGATCCCAACAGTACCTGCGCATCCAGCAAGACCAATAGCCTCTGTAAGCCAACTCATGATTGGGAACCCTAAGCAATGGAACATGGAGTTATTTGAAAATTATGTCATCCCAGAAGATATCCCACTGATCCAGTCCTTGGCCATAAGTCAAGGACATCAAAGAGATGAATTTTGTTAGAGCTATACAAAGAGTGGAAGATACACAGTCAAATCTGGGTACTAAGTGTGATATGCTCTAAATCGGGAAAGGATCACTCAAACGGACTGAAGGGATATGAACTTGCCAAAAGGGAGAACTGGTGGCTTCAACGGTGACACAAAGGATTGTGGATGGCCCAATGATACTACCAGACTTCGATCGTTGCCGGATATGACGCACCGGTTCAACAAAAGAAGGATCGAAACTTGGAGATAACCTCACCAAGAAACTAAGAAATGTTCTACAAAGAACAAAGAGAAATAAAATCATAAAAAGGGAAAACAATATGCTTTATTTCTTGATAGATATTACATATTTATACTACTTGTGGTCAAAAAAAATGAAGAGTTTTTGTAGAAAACTAGAAACTTAGAAAATACAAACAAAGACTAAGAATTTTGATTAAAAATGAATGTGTTATTGAATGCATCTTTGCCTGACACGACCTTGACTCATTTGTTGACTGTCTCCTGGTATTCTTTATGAGAATGGGCTTGAAATTGACTGAGGAAAAACTGGTCGAATTTGGTGTAAAACAAACCCATAATGAAAATTTTATGAACTTTTCTTTGGGCTGAAAAATCTCATTTCGCCCAGCAGCTAAACCAGCTC